CCTGGTGCACTGGGAAGACCCAGAGGGATCGGGTGGAGAGGGAGGTGGGAGGGGGGATCGGGATGGGGAATACATGTAAATCCATGGCTGATTCATATCAATGTATGACAAAAACCACTGCAATGATGTAAAGTAATTAGCCTCCAACTAATAAAAATAAATTTAAAAAAATAATGTGTAGAACAACCAAACAGAAGATCAGTAAAGAAAAAGAGGACTTGAACAACATAAAAAGCCAACTAGACCTAGCATATGTATACAGTATCCGCCACCCAACAACAGCAGAATACATGGAATATTCTCCTGAAGAGACATTGTGTTGGGCCACAAAAGTCTTGGGAAAGTTTAAAAGATTGAAATCACCCATAGTATAATCTTCACCTGCAAGTAACACAGAGAAAAATGGAAAATTCACAAATATGTGGAAATTAAGTAACATAGTCTTGAATCAAAGAATCAAAGAACAAATTAGAGGTAAATTAGAAAATACATTGAGATGAATGAAACTGAAAAAACAACACACGAAAACTTATGGTATGCTTTGAAAGAAGTGCTCAGAGGGAAATTTATGGCTGTAAACACCTGCCTTAAAATTGATCAGGAAGAAGGCAAGGATGCTGACTTTCATCATTTCTGCTCAACATTGGACTGGAATTTGTAATCATTGCAATTAAGTAAGAAAAAGGAAAAAAGAGCACCTAAGTTGGAATGTAAGAATCATGAGTAACTCTATTCACAGATGATTTGATCCTATATATAAAATCCTGAAGACTCCTAGGACAGCAAGGAGATCCAACCAGTTCATCATAAAGGAAAATCCACCCTGAATATTCATCGGCAGGAGGGATGCTGAAGCTGAAACTCCAATACTTTGGCCACCTGATGGGAAGAACTGACTCATTTGAAAAAGACCCTGTTGTTTGGAATGATTGAAGGAAGGAGGAGAAGGGGACAACAGAGAACGAGATGGTTGGATGGCATCATCAGCTCTTGGACATGAGTTTGAGCAAGCTCTGGGAGTTGGTCATGGACAGGGAAGCCTGGCGTTCTTCAGTCCATGGGGGCACAAAGAGTTGGACACCACTGTGCAGCTGAACTGAACTGACAGAAAGAATCTACATAAAGAACATAGTAGAACATAGTAGACCTATTTATTTAATTGAGCAGAG